ATATATGTCACATATCAATTTAAATCAACCTTTGATTTATTTCTTCTATAGCACTTCATGATTACCAATCCCAAATCTGAACATTAAGAGGTATGACATTTTTTAGAAAATGAACATCTTTAGCACAGAGACATAGGGTCTAAATTGACTGATAATAACTCAAGCAAATAACCAGTAAAAGAGAAAGATAAAATGTGAAAATAGCCATGAAGACTTATATCAGTATCTTTTCCATTTTAGATCTAAATAATAGATCATTGTCCATACTGAGGGAAGTACCATCCTCACCCTAACTGTTTACTCTTTTAAATGTATATTGGGGCTAAAGTATGTTTCCCATGCTTGCTTTAAAAACATGGTAAGGTAAAGGAGTAACAGGAGCATAGACTCCTAGGTTATCATCATCTATCTGCCAAGTGACATTCTGGGAGACAGTTCCGTTCCTCGGGGAGTTCCCTCAGGGCTATAACCATGCCTTTGGTCATCATCAAAGTACAGAAGTCTCTGTTTCCTTCAAGTGCCACTGGATCAAAAATCATCCCATCCAGTGCTGTCTGAATAAATAGATACAGGACCTGGATTTTTTAACCTCTCCTAAAATTGAAACACATGAATTGTACATTCAATTATTTGGGCTTTGAAAGTATGAAAGTTATATGGAAGCCCATCTCAAAACATTATCTAGTGAGTATCTGGATAGGATAGTATTAACAACATGTATCTTTAGTGAATGGGGTAGTAATTTTAATATCTACACTGATAAATATTAAAATATGTAGCTTTAAATGTTTGTTACTAAAATGTCCAGAAGGAAGGAGCATAGTAGAAAGATAGTAAGAGAGGAGAGTTAACTCATCTCCACGTCCACTCCAGTCCCCTTCAAATCTCTGTGGTATCTCCAAATTATATGTGTCCTTTGAGTGTGGTGGATCTTCCCTTTCCTCTAGTGAACTTGACCCAGAGAGTTAAGGCTGCTGGATTGGTCATAATCATCCATTAACTTCTGGGTGCGTCATCTCACACAGAGAATAAGGAAATATAGTTGTAGATTGAACAGAACAAATCACATGTATTAGAGAAATTCTTAAGCAAGAAGGTGTGCCCCCAGATAAAGATACTACCTGTTGTTCAACCCTGAGGCCTCCTATGAGACTTAAGTATGGAAATGGGTAGAGATTGACGTCATCTTTATTGGACTGATCATTCTTTTAGTGTATTCTCTGAGAGTCAAATCTGTGTGCCCCCCACACTTCCTTTACAAAATTCCTCAGTCTAATTGGAGAGGTGACTGACTGTGCATTGCTCCTCCAGTCAAGGAAGTGATCACTTTTGTTCAGTATCTTACTCAAGCTATTCTGTTCATTTAGTAGGCTATTAACTACCATTTCTTATTCATCTGTTACAGTACTGTCTCCTAATTTGCAACAGACCCTCTCTTATATCACACAAAGAACTGTCTCATTTTGATATTTAAAAGATGAAATAAAATATTAGTTTTATATTTTATATTTTGTTATTTTATATATTTATGTGTAAATATATGGCACCCTCATTTCATAATTCAGCTTATTAAATGCAAATAGTCTCAGAGGGACAAGTAAAATCCATGAAACAGAACCTTCAATTTGCATATTAACAAATCACAAGAACGTATTTAGTCTGCTCACATTCTGTAGACTAGGTAAATTTTACAGTAGCCACAAAAGTGAACACTATAATTACATTACCACAACACATTCCTGAAGAACTTTGGAGTCTTTATTTAAGGAAAGAAGATAAAAATCACTTCTACATCAAATAAACTTTACTTGCAACAATTCTGCAGTAGGTAACCAACACCAGTTACAACAGAAGAAGTCTTGGAGATTGGCAGAAATGCTGAGTGCAATGGAAGGCAGCCTCCTTTTTGTTGCTACTACTGAGGCTGTGATGGGAGTTTTGGGGAGCTCATTTATTGCACTTGTAAACTGTACAAACTGGATCAGGAGCAAGAAGCTCTCTAAAATTGACTTTATTCTCACTGGCTTGGCATTCTCCAGGATCTTTACCATATGGTTAATAACTTTAGATGCATACTCAAAGGTTTTATTTCAGGATATGTTTATGACTAGTGATCTAAGTAAATGCATATATTACATATGGGTAATTATTATCTGCCTGAACATCTGGCTTGCCACCAGTCTCAGCATCTTCTATCTCCTGAAGATAGCAAATTTTTCCCACTCCATTTTTCTATGGTTAAAGAGGAGAACTGATAAAGTTTTTGCCTTTCTAATAGGATGCTTAATTATAGTGTGGCTAACTTCCTTTCCACTAGCTGCAAAGGTGATTAACGATGTTAAAATGAGCAACACATCCTGGCTGAAAGCGAGTTACATCCTGGAGAAAAGCGAGTTACTGATAAGCTGTGTTTTTGCCAATATGGGAGTCATTTCCCTCTTTGTGATGGCCCTGACTGCATGTTTCCTGTTAATTATTTCCCTTTGGAGACACACCAGGCGGATGCAATCACATGACTCAAGATTCTGGGACCTCAACAGAGAAGCTCATGTGAAAGCCATGAAAGTTTTAATTTCATTTATCATACTCTTTACCTTACATTTTATGGGATTTTTCATAGAAGGATTATGCTTGTTTCTCACAGAAAACAAACTTCTGTTTATTTTTGGTTTCACAATGGTATCCATGTATCCCTGCTGCCACTCGTTTATTCTAATTCTAACAAATAGCCAGCTGAAGCAAGCCTTGATAAGGGTACTGAAGAGATTAAAGTGCTGTGAGACTTAACAGAAAAATGATGGGTCTGGCACAATCCTACAAAGGACTCCCCAAAGCCATTTTCCATCCTAACTAATCTCACACACTGCCTTTTACTTGTGCAGTTCATTTAAAATGTAATGAATAATTAAGAAACATAGGTAGAGAGTCATCTATAATAGTCAAGATTATAGTCATGTTAATTCGATTTTCTATATGTACAGAGATGTATTTCAGATGGATAAGTATTCTGCAAATATTTCAGATACTTTTAGAATATGGCAGTTAAAATGTTTTTGTAACTTAGAACTTTTCATGACAATGCGACATGTCTGCTCCTGGCAGCACAAGCTACTTCAAGAGGAAGATGGGAATCAAAGAGGCTCCTTATGGAGTTGGTTAGCCATTTAAGCAAGAAATTGCTCTTGCCTGGACTGCTTAACTGGACATGCAGAACCCACAAAGAAATGACTGCTGAACTTGACTAAAGGTGAGATCCATCACGATTCCTGATTCACAAAAGAGTCTGCTAGACATTCTACAGGACACAGAAGAAAAAGTGTATGACAAACTGCCAATATAGGCAGAACTGTCTTTGAAATTTCCTGCTTCGTGGACAAGTCTGCTGGATACTATGGGCCTGTAGGCTGAAGATGGATACCCCAACGGTACAAAAGAACTTTGAGTGACTCTCCAGGCAGCAAGGTGTCTCTGTAAATTCTAGAGTTTTAGAAGTTTCTTACAATACACTTCTTGTTTACTTAGGTAATATTATATCCTTCTGAAGTATTTGATGGAGTTGAAGAGTATATAGTAATAATATAGCTTTCCTTAGTAATAGTAAGATATAAAGTAGATATAAATATTGTAACTGCAATTCTTGCTTGATACCTGTTTTGTTATATGTAATTTTACTGTGTTAAAGTTAAAACCCTTTTTTTTTTTGTTTAAACAGAAAAGGAGAAATGGTGTGGAAGGTTCTTCTGTCTATGTGCTGCTATTATTGGCTAAGGAATAAAGAGACTACATTGGCCTGTTAATAGGGCAAAATTAGGTAGGTGGGAAAAACTGGACTGAATGCTGGGAGAAAGGAGGCAGCGTCAGAGAACCACCAGAGTCAGACATGCCGAATCTTTTTTGGTAAGCCATTGCCATGTGGCAGTATACAGATTAATAGAAATGGATTAAATTGGTATAAGGTTAGCCAATAAGAAGTTAGAGCTAATGGGCCAAACAGTGTTTGAATTAATACAATTTTTGTGTGATTATTTCTGTTCTGGGCAGCCGGGTTGCCAGCATGAACAGGCAGCCCCCTGAAAAGAGAAATATTGTGGTGTCTTGGCAATATGTTCTTATAAAGAATATACATAAAATGTCATTATATAAGCATACCCCATCTGACATAATTAAAATATTCTTATTCTCCATTCCTACCACACTGATTATCTCAAATAAGGATTTATAATTTATATATGTTTTTTGCAAGTGGACAAGGCTAACTTAAAGAGTGACCAGTAGCTTGATAAATCTATTTTCTTTTTTAATAAGTACAAGTTAATTGAATATCTTAGGTTTTTATTAAACTTAAGCAATAAAAACCACATAAGCTATCCATCTATGGTAGAATAGACACAGTGTATGATAAGGTAACCTAAAACACACTTGGCACATCCATGGGAATGACACCTCCATTTGAAGTGAAATAGATCAAATTTTGCTTTAATACCAATATATGGTGATGTAACATTGCTTTGTTAAATTTTTCAATTTTATAGGGGTTTTAGAAAGGTCAAAGTTGAGAAGAGACTATGTTGACCCTGTCTTTCATTATAGTCTTTGGATGATAAGTTTTGCAGTAGAATATTGTTCCATTTGGATTTAATCTTTGAAAAAGCAAATTCCTCATTTGCATGCTTGATTTTAGTTCTCCATTTTCTAAAAGGGATAAAACTGCAGCTGCCAAGCTGTTCTGTGGATCTGCTGATCTTAAAATATTAGAAATGTTTGATAGTTCTCACTGATAAATGTTCACTGCAATAAAATACCTTATGGGAAAGCATTTATGATCAAACAGAAAACCCTTTTAAAAACCCACAGTATCTTAAATAGCATAATATTGTACCTCAAAGTGTTAGCCAAATGAGAACAAACTAAAGACAACTCTGTAAGTACAAATAAAATAAAAAGATTTATTTAAAACGTAATGAACTAGTAAAATATTTCAAAGAATCAATGAAACAAAGAGTTGTTTCTTTGAAAATTTAAAAAACATTGGCAAATGCTTAGAGAAACAAAATTAGAGATTAACAAATTAAGAAAACTAAATATGAAAAGGGAAACATTGGAACAGATGTCAGTGAAATTTGTAGTATCATCAGGCATGCTTTGAAAAACTGGACTCCAATGAACTAGAAAATCTAAAGTGAATGGATGTTTCTAAACACACATGACCTAACAAAATTAGATCAAGAGACTGTAAAACATTTAAACAAGTCTATAAAAAGCAATGAGATTAAAGCAGTAATAAGAAGCCTCTTGACTAACAAAAAACTAAAACCAGATATATTCACTGTAGAAGTCTATAAGACATTTAAATAAATTATAGTACTCCTTAAGCTATTCCATAAAACAAAAGCAAAAATGTTACCAAACTAATTTTACACGGTGAGTATTACACAAGTACCAAGATAGAATAAGAATACACAAAGATTGAAGTTTGAAAGTTGATAACTCTGATGAACTTGGATGTTAAAACTCTCAATAAAATATTTACATCTGGGGGCTGGAAAAATTGCTCAGTGGTTAAGGGCACTGACTGCTCTTCCAGAAGTCCTGAGTTCAATTCCCAACAACCAAAAGGTTATAGTGATGTTTCATTTGTATTTAATAAATAAAGCTTGCATGAAAATCAGAGTCTGAAACAGCCTTACTGGTCAGCCATACAGACCAGGCAGTGGTGCCACACACCTTTAATCTCAGTAGCCACACTATTTCACCATAGAAGATTGATAGTAGTGGTGCACTCCTTTAATCCCAGCACTAGAGAGAAATATAAGACAGGAGGAAACAGGTCTCAGCTCAGTCTCATTCTGAGGATTCCTGGAGGCAGTATTGCCATTTTATTCTGAGACAGAGATAAGAGCCAGTGGCTGGATGCTTTGCTTTTCTCATTTTCAGGTTGAACCCCAATATCTATCTCTGGGTTTTTATTATTCACGCTACACGTGGTGGCTCACAACCATCCAAAATGAGATCTGGTGCCCTCTTCTGTCCTGCAGGCAGAACACTGTATACATAATAAATAAATCTTTTAAAGTATTTGCAATTTGAATTCAATAGCATATCTTAAAAGATCATTTTTTTCATGACTTCATCCAATGATACAAAGATGAATCAACACACAGAGAACAATTTAAGGACATAGAGTAAAGCCCACATGTTAGTTTGAAATTACCTGTGGGCTTAGGTAGTTGAACACTTGGTCCCTATTTTGTTACAGTGCTTTATGGGGCAGGGAATAAGTGGAACAACATTGCTGGCATAATTTCCTCACTGGGAGTGAGCTTGACATTGTACAGACTCACCCTTCTTCCAGTTTGCTCTCTCTGATTTATGCCTGGCACTTGCTGCCATGTCTACCTGTCACAATGGTCTCTTACTCTGTACAACAGAAAACCCACATAAACTCTTGCTTCTTCAGGTCTCTCATGGTAGTTTGTCACAATAAGAAAGTAACTAATAAAGAAGAGAAGCAGAAGAATCACATGATCATAATGGTAAATATACAAGTGGTGCTTAACAAAGTACAACATTCCTTCATGATAAAAACCCTGAAAAAATTAGAATAGAAGAAATATACTTTAGCATAATAAATTTTATATATGAGAAATATATTCCAATAGTATACTAAGTGAGTTAAAACTCAAAGCATTTCTCCTTTCAGAAATGAGAAAAGGGTTTTCACTTTGCTCACTCAATGCAGTGTGTGATGTCCTAGCTAGTGTAATAAGATAATAAAAATAAAAAAAATACAAATAGAAAAGAAAAAAGTTAAAATATCCTTAATGGGATGACATCATCCTACAATTCAAAGACCCAAATGATTTCACAAAACAAAACACACAAATAATACCCTTAGAACTAAGAAACACTTGTAAGAAAATAGCAGAATGTAAAACCAGCAAACAAATCCAGTTTCTTTCTCATTATAAATAAAGCATAATGAGAAATAAATCAGGAGAAAAAAATTCATTTATAGTACCGAGGAGCAATGATGACCAAGGATGAAAAAAACCCTTACAGTGAATATTTAAATATTAAAGAAATCAAAAAAGACACTAGAACATGGAAAGACTTACGCTCATTGATTGACAGTGTTAATACTGTAAAAAAAAAAAAAAAAAAAAAAAAAAAAAAAAAAAAAAAAAAAAAA